ATCGATGTGAGAGAGACACACATTGGCTGACTCTGGAATCAAACCCTTGACCCTCTGGAGCATGGGCAGATGCTCTAACCACTGAGCAACACCAGCCAAGGCAAGCCAGTATTTCTTAATGTTTGATCTATGGAACTGTTTCTCTAAACAGATTTTTTTTTTTACTTCATTTTTATTGTTGACAATAAGTTAATGTACATTATTATCAAGAGGGAGACAACATATGCAAATTGCAGAAATATATTTGAACAGGGGCACTTTTTAAAAGAAGCACTTCTTGCTAGGCTGGTGTTACCTTTGGGGAAACAATGCTCTAAGCTTTCATTTTTGGTTGTAAAATGCAGCACTAATAAACATAAACATACATCACAAAGACTTACAAAGCTAGACCATCAAAGGCTCTGATTCTTTCACAAGAAAACACACAATCCCCACCTTATAGCTGGAAAATTCAAGGATTATTGTTGGCAGTGATAAGATTCAACCCTACTCAATGATAGACAAAACCTTCTCAGAAGTCCTGAAATAGAATTTTGGGGGGCAAAGGCTGAAGTCCATCAAAGCAAACTGCTCCTGTAGAAATTTTTTTAGAAAAACACTTGACAAAAAGATAACAGAAGGTCTTATAAATTAAAATAATATTTTGGAAAATTTACCCACTTTGTGGACATAAATGAAAACTTGTATACACTATATCCAAACTTAGAGCTTTCAGTTATACACTAAAATTGCTCCTTCATAATGATATGGTGAAAGAAAATACTTCATGAAATACTTCCAATTAATGTTTCCTAAAAATTTTAATTTTAATCCATATTTGCTAAGAGATTTAAGGTTTGAAGAATTTGTTTTGTTAATTCTCACCTGAGGACATTTTCTTCATTGATTTTTAGAGAAGGGGGGGGGGCGAAGAGAAACATCAATGTGAGAGACACATGAGCTGGTTGCCTCCTCCACACGCCCTGACCGACGGGGGGCAGGGAATGAACCCACAACCGAGGTATGTGCCCATGACTGGGAATGGAACCTGAGGCCTTTCAATGTGCAGGCCAATGCTCTAACCACTGAACCATACCAGGACGCATGTAACATTTTTAACTGCCATCTACTTTTAAATAAAGATGCATGGTTTTTATTGTTATCCAACATTTAATATTATCTAAATAACTGAAATATTGCTTATTTCAAGTACCTTCGTGAAAAGAAAAAAAAATCCATTTCACTTCCAAAAAGCTTCCTAGCTATGTCATTTTCTCCCTTCTAATAGTATAATTCTTAGTAGTCACTGTTCTTACCAAAAGCAGAAGTCCTCAAAAAGCACTGGAATATGACATATGATAATGTTATATTTTTTTTTTATCCTAACTCGATATTTTTCCCATTGCTTTTCAGAGAGAGTGGAAGGGAGAGAGAGAAACATCACTGTAAGAGAGACACATCAACTGGTTGCCTCCCACATATGCCCCAACCAAGCCTGCAGGTGGGGAGCTCTCTCTCCCTTCCACTCTTCAAAAATCAGTTAAAAAAAATATTTAGTTCTGTGTAATAAAATTCTATATCTTAAGACAAAGTTCACTATAATATAGTTATTGGCTGATCTACTTTAGAGAACAGTTTAGGAAATAAAATTCTATTCGTATAAAGCAGGGCTTCTCAACCTCAGCACTACTGGCATTTGGGGCTGGATAATTCTTTATTGTTTTGGATGTCCTGTGCATTGTGGCATGTTCAGCTGCTACCCTGGTCTCTATGCATTAGGTGCAGTAGCATCCCCATCCTCATCCCAGTTGTTACCAAAAAAACCCACGTCTTTAGACATTGCCAAATGTCTCCTGGAGTCTTCCTGGTTGAGAACTACTGAAAAAGAGTAAATCACTACAAAGATACTGTTCTGGTATTTGCAATTCATTGCATAATTATACTGAGATACTTTGAAAAGGTTGTGTTGGTATCTGGAGGGTCTGGGAACAGAGAGCAGGTAAGTTTTATGAAAAAATGTTAGAAGTGAATAGTTTTAGGCACAAAACAGATAATTAGCAAAGTTGAACAGAGGTTCAAATAAGGTAGAGATTATACGCAGGCAAAAACAAAAAGATGCACTATATATCTATAAATAGAGGCTTCTATAAAACATTAGGACATAAATGAGACAATCATGTCTCCTGAGATACTTGATCGTAGATTGACTTCTTACTGTTTTTAGTTTCGTTTAACATTAAAATATATAAACCTCAACATATACTAACCTGTACTAAGAGCTGGGATAAATGCAGCCCCTAGGGGTGTCATGGTGTAGGTGAAAGAATACCGGACTCCAGTCAAGAAATCTGGCTTTTAGTCTTGGCTCATCACTGAATAGGTAGATGTGTGACCTTAAGCAGGTCACATCACCTCACTGAGCCTTAATTTCCTCACCTGAAAAGGAGGGGATTAGACTAGATGATATTTAAAGTCTCTTTCATCTTTGACACTTTATAATACTATAAATGCCAGCTCACAGATGATAAATATAAAGAGAATAATTAATCAACTATATTATCTACTTCATGGCTTTGGATTTTTTTAATTTTAATTTTATGGTTTTGGTTTTCTCAGAAATGGAACCCAGGATTAAGCCAGAGACAAACATTCACAGTTAAAGTCCCCCTGGCATGTCAGTTTACCTTGCAGTGTAGGGGCTGACTGTGTCTGGGTTTTGGAAAGAGCAGACAGAATGCTCTCTGGGGTGATCTCCACCTTCGAGAGGATATTTGCCAAAGGGTTGTGAGATGTTGTCGTGGCAGGTGCAGGTGTTTTCAGGCCACTGGAGAGGTTGCCCGGACTTGTAGGAGTTCCTGGAGAAGGTCTTGATGCAGGACTGACCCCTGGTGGCAGAAAGATTAACTCAAGAAAATGCAATTCAAAATGACCTTTAAATCCATGAACTTTCCGTTCAAATGATTTTGGTATGTTTAATAGGAATTTTTCTGTGACTGACTCACAGATGGTCCATATCATGGCTTTTACAAAAAAAAAAATCTGAAATTAGATGAAGATTTTCTCCTGTCTAGTTGGAACACCCCTAAAAATAAAGAAGTATTAACTTTTTTTATATGTATTCCCTTAGTTTTGAGAGGTCCAATAGAAAGGGACTAAAGAACCTATTTCTTTTTTCTCTATAGCATGAAACCCACACCTCAGAGTCCTGTAGGTGCTCCATAAATATTGCTGGCTGATTATGATCAGATCCAATGTAATTGTGTAACAGCCACAACATAATTTTATGTGATTAGTAAGATTTTGCTTTTGAAATGGTCTATAAAATGAGATTACGTAAGCAACCTCCTTTACACTTTTACATTTTAAAACACTGGATTTTTTTTTTTTAATCCTCACCAGAGGGTATTTTTTCCATTGCTTTTCAGATAGCATGGAAGGGGGCAGAGAGAGAAACATGGATGTTAGAGACACATCCATTGGTTGCCTCCCGAACATGCCCTGACCAGGGCCGGGGATGGGGCCTGCAACCGAGGAATGTGCCCTTGGTCGGAATCGAGCCCCAGACCCTTCGTCCGTAGGCTGGTGCTCTAACTACTGAGCCAAACCAGCTAGGGCTGGATTGATTTTTAACAGAGGGAAAAAGTATACAAAGATATAATAATTTTTTAATGATCAAAAATAAGAGCAGATATTTCACACAAAAAATTATGAGCAAATAAAAAATATTTCAACCATATCTTTAATCAAAATGATGTAAATGAAACTTTTAAAGATTGAATTTGATGAAGATTAAAACAAAATAAAATAGTTTTGGAGAAGCTGAGGCACATCAGGGACTTTCATACAGCACTTGGAATAAATAGTACATTTTTGGAGATCATTTTAGTTATAACATGAAAAGACTTAAAAAACCTAAATGCTGATTATTTTGAGAATCTATCTTTTAGAAATAATATATTTAAGTACTTATAATTGGGATTTTCTTCAAAATAATCAGGACTGAGTAGGCCATGTGTTTATATAGTTAAAGATGAGCAATGAGTACGTGGAGGTGCTCTACATACTCATTAAAATTTTCATTAAAAAAAAAAAAAAGCCCTATATACTCATCAACCCTTATAGGAAGGGTTGTGCATAAAACTTTAGCATCAAGGTTGTTCATTACAGTATTCTTTTAAACAGTGTAAACAGTGAAAAATTAGAAACATGTTGGATGTCTGAGAATTAAAAAGCTTAAAAAAAATCAAAAGCTAAATAGCTAAAATTTTAAATAGCTGGTTTCAAAACTGTATATGCAATATGCTTCAATTATTAAAAGAAAAATTATTACAAATATTTAATCTCCCAAAACATTCAGATACACATACACTTGTAAGATCATGCACAAGTGATTTCCTTTGTAGTATTGTATTTATTTTATTCTCTTTACCTATTTTCTAATTTTTCTATGATGACCAAGTGCTGCTTTTATTTTTGTATTAAAATAATACCTTTAGCTAAATTTTTAAAAATTACTTTTAATTTTAAAAATTCAACAAAACCCAGACTGATGGCTCAATGAGAAAGATGAAAGCCAGCCCTTTACCCTCTTTCCTGGGCTTACTTACCTGTATTTTTCATGACTGATGTCAGGCTGCTAAGGATGGAACTGATCTTTGCCAGATCCACATTAGCCAGGTTTGGCAAAGCCAATGCTGGAGATGGGGGCAGAAGAGAAGTATTCACAGGCTTTGGAAGAGGGGAGGTTGCTGTCATGGTCACAGGCACTGGGGTACATGAAGAGGCCTTTGAGACACTTTCTGTTGGCTTTGTAGGTACAGAAGTGGATACAGCTGACTTCTCCACAGGTTTTTCTTTCCTGTCCTCTACTATTTAAACAAAGAAACAAATATTATTGCATCTTACTACTTTCCAGACTCTACTTCCAGTATGGAACAAGTATGTTCTACTATTTCCTGATTTGGGAGTAAAAGCACTATGCTTTAGAGAAAACCACTAAATTCATGATTTTTTTAAAAAGCCCTACTCTTTATATTTTATGACCCCTCTTGACTTCAATACCTGCTTAAAACGAATTTCCCAAATTCACCTTTTATCTTACTTTTAATGATTTATTTGCATCTTCTTAGCATCTGTATATTAAATTTGTACATTCTAGAAGCATGTTATTATTGGGTACAGTAATTATATTTATGTCATAAATTGTCCTGTCTTTTTTGTTAACTTAAGAGCTTTCTAAAGAGTAGGAACTCTGTACATACTTTTTTGTATTTTTTTGTGGCTTCCTGAAATTGGCCTACTGAGGGTTGCAATTAGGCACTAATTTGAAACTGCAATTTTAACTCTTTATGCATTTTACCACCTAAAAGGCTATGCAGTGTATGGATAGTACATTAAATTCAACATAAGTCAAAAACTCTAATAATAATAAAAGCTGGGGATGTCAGAGAAACAATTCACCAATGCAGGTTAACTTTTTAAAAATATATTTTTTTGATTAATTTGAGAGAGAGAGAGAGAGCGAAACATCAATGTGAACATTGATCAGCTGCCTCCTGCAAGCCCCTACTGGGGATCAAGCCCGAAACCCGGGCATGTGCCTTGACAGGGAATTGAACCGGTTACCAGGGCAACCTTCTGGTGCATGGGACGATGCTCAACCAATGAGCCACACCAGCCAGGGCTATCCATGTTAATTTTGAAAGTGTGGTTAACAAACCGGCTTTGGAATCTTGAAGGTCAAGTGACAGAGAATAAAGAATTCCAGTATAAGTGCTCCTCCCTCTAGGGCAGTGCTATTCAATAGAAATATAATTCAAGCCACTATAGAAGTTTACATTTTCTAGAAGCCAGTGTAAAAAAAGGTAACATTAATTTTAATAATGTTTTATTTATCTCAATGTATTAATGTGTACCTTTTATACTTAGAGCACATCTCAAGCTAGACAAGTCACATTTCAAATGCTCAACAGTCACATTTAGCTAGTGGTTACCATACTGAACAACACAGATCCTGAGTAATGATTCTTAACCCACATGGCTTACCAAATCCTGAATCATTGCACTGGAGAAATAATGCTACCTTGGTATTCTACATTATAAAGACTTAACTATTTTTTTTTTTTATTTATTTATTGATTTTAGAGAGAAGGAGAGAGAGAAAGAAACATCAATTTGCTATTCCACTTATTCATTGGTTGATTCTTGTACGTTGTACGTTCCCTGACTGGGGATCGAACCTGCAACCTTGTTGTATTGGCATGACACTCTAACCAACCAAGCTACCCAGCCAGAGGTGAGCTATCTTGCAACATCTGCCTATGACAGATATATCGGTGGGAAAACAAAAAAGATAAGGAACAAGCTGTCTACTCATCACATAAGGACATACCGATTATTTTTGACCCATCATCTTCTACATCTGAGAGTTCCATGTCTTCCACATCACGATTATCTGTTGCAGGCTCAGGTGTGGCAGATTTCTCACTCTCCACAGTTGGTGACTGGGATTCCTCACCTCCCATTCCCTGAAAAGGAGACTCAGAACCAGTTGGAGAGGGCGCATCCATACTTGGGGAAGGAACTGGTGATTCTTCTGGATCAGGGAGGGTTGATTTCAATTGATCCAGCTTTTTCTTTAAATTGTTCACTCGATTAGCAAAGGTTTTGTATGCCTAAAAGAGAAAAAGAATCGTTTGCTGCTCTGAAAAAAGAACCAAGAAGCTACCATTTGACTTTGATCGGATTTCCCCATTATCACTAACTATATCACTGGTACAAAACAAGAAAATATCTTCATCTGTCAAGCATAGTGTAGTTTCCAGTCTCTCCTTTTTGTGTTCTCTAATGAGTATTACCATCCACACAAATACCTGGTGTCAGAAATCTAGAGGTTATCTGTAATTCATTCTCCCTTGCTCTCTTCTATCCATCTAATAAATCCGTATTTATCAAGAGCCTAAATGTGCTGGCCACTCTCCCAGATATTGGAGATATAGCAATGATTACAAAGACAGAAAAAAAATACCCAAATCCATAAATAAAGCACAGCCTGGGAGTCAAATACTACTGTTTTTTAAAAAAATAAACTTTTATTTTAGAACACTTTTAGGTATACAAAATANATTGGTTGATTCTTGTACGTTGTACGTTCCCTGACTGGGGATCGAACCTGCAACCTTGTTGTATTGGCATGACACTCTAACCAACCAAGCTACCCAGCCAGAGGTGAGCTATCTTGCAACATCTGCCTATGACAGATATATCGGTGGGAAAACAAAAAAGATAAGGAACAAGCTGTCTACTCATCACATAAGGACATACCGATTATTTTTGACCCATCATCTTCTACATCTGAGAGTTCCATGTCTTCCACATCACGATTATCTGTTGCAGGCTCAGGTGTGGCAGATTTCTCACTCTCCACAGTTGGTGACTGGGATTCCTCACCTCCCATTCCCTGAAAAGGAGACTCAGAACCAGTTGGAGAGGGCGCATCCATACTTGGGGAAGGAACTGGTGATTCTTCTGGATCAGGGAGGGTTGATTTCAATTGATCCAGCTTTTTCTTTAAATTGTTCACTCGATTAGCAAAGGTTTTGTATGCCTAAAAGAGAAAAAGAATCGTTTGCTGCTCTGAAAAAAGAACCAAGAAGCTACCATTTGACTTTGATCGGATTTCCCCATTATCACTAACTATATCACTGGTACAAAACAAGAAAATATCTTCATCTGTCAAGCATAGTGTAGTTTCCAGTCTCTCCTTTTTGTGTTCTCTAATGAGTATTACCATCCACACAAATACCTGGTGTCAGAAATCTAGAGGTTATCTGTAATTCATTCTCCCTTGCTCTCTTCTATCCATCTAATAAATCCGTATTTATCAAGAGCCTAAATGTGCTGGCCACTCTCCCAGATATTGGAGATATAGCAATGATTACAAAGACAGAAAAAAAATACCCAAATCCATAAATAAAGCACAGCCTGGGAGTCAAATACTACTGTTTTTTAAAAAAATAAACTTTTATTTTAGAACACTTTTAGGTATACAAAATAACTGTAAATATAGTGTATATTTTTATTTATTTATTTATTTATTTATTTACTTATTTATTTGATTTCAGAGAGAGGAAAGGAGAGGGAGAGAGACAGAAACATCAATGATGAGAGAGTCATTGATCGAGCCCGCAACCCAGGCATGTGCCTTGACCGGGAATTGAACCCCGATAGCCTGGATCCTAGGTCGATGCTCAACCGCTGAGCCACACCCAGCAGAGCAAGATAGTGTATATTAATAGAGTTCCAAGAGGAAAGGAAAATAGAATAGAAACAATTCATGAAGAAGTAACAGCCAAGAATTTCCAAGAATTTATGAAACCATTAAACCATTTGTTATGTGTTGAACTGTGTTTCCCCCAAATCTTATATGTCTTATATGCTGAAGTCCTGGCCCTGTACCTCAGAATGTGGCCTTATTTGGAGAACAGTTTTTACAGAGGTAATCAAGATGAAATGAGGTCATTAGGATGGGCCCTAATCCAATATGACTGATATCCTTAAACAAAGGGAACATTTGGACCCAGAGACACACACAGAGGAAAAACAATGTGAAGAGACACAGGGAGAAAATAGCTATCTACAAGTCAAAGAGAGAAGCCAGGAACAGAACCTTCCCTTTTAGCCCAGAAACAATCAACCCTGCTGAGACCTTGATTTTGGACTTCTAGTGTCCAGACGTATGAGACAACAAATTATTGTTTAAGCCACCCAGTCTGAGGTACTTTGTTATAGAAGTCCTAATAAACTAATATACCATCAATTTAAATAGTTCTGCAAACCCCAAACCATACAAATATGAAGACCACCCATGCCACACTTAGGTATGTTATATAACCACTGAGAACCAGAGACAGAAAATAACTTATCTCCCTGCTTCTAATATTCTTTTATTCTCCACTTCGCTCTATGGATTCTGAAACACAAACTTGATCACATCATTAGCAAATTAAAATCCTTTCTTTGGGACTTAACTTTGTACTGCCTTATTAAATAAATCAGGGCTGCTGTCGAGCAAAATTTCTACCTCTGCCTCTACTGTTCTAATGTTGCCAAGGTCACAGAACGACACTGGCATTGGTATACTCTGTCTTCCAAGAGGAATGGACAACACTCCCCATTAAAGAGAGCTTCATCTAGCAGTTTAACTCCAGTGATAAATGCAAGAACAATTACTGAGCCTCTCGGCCACAAACCAAACCAAGCTAATTCCAGTCAAAGTCAGCTCCCTCCCAAGATAGTAATTCAAAAAATATACTCCTTGTCCTGGCTGGTGTGGCCCAGTGGTTAAAGCATTCGCCCCTGTACTGAAGGGTCGAGGGTTCACTCTGCACCCTGGGTGGGGACGAGTGCAGGAGGCAACCAATCGATGCATCTCTCTCACATTGATGTGTTTCTCCCTCTCCCTCCCTCTCTCTCTCTGAAAAAGCAATGGAAAAAATACATTCTCAAGTGAGGATTAAAAGTGCATATATACATATACACACACACTTCTTATGGAGATGTATTGCTGCAGAGCATTTTATTATATACGTCTCATAATAATTCTGGGAAGCAGAAATGTTAACCCATCTATTTTATGGATGAGGAAATGACAGGAGGTTAAGTTTCAGTTAACTAATAATTAGTGGGTGTTAAAATTTTTTGAAAAGTTCTTATGTCTAAAGCTTGGTGGGATGATTTTTGTTCATTTGGCAGTGTATTTTTTCTATAGGAAATATGGAAAACTGATAAAAAGTATAAAATAGTGTGTGCGGGAGAAAATAACTATTTAATCAGTTCCCAAAAGTGATGTTTGCTAAAATTTTATTAAGATCTATTTCCTATGATCTTTTCCTTTAAAAACAGTTAGTTCTGAAAAACTACGTATAGTGAAGTGAAACAAAACCAAACCAAAAAAACCCACCACATTTATATACTCACTACCCAAAATGTTTTGAAAAGTTAGTATTTTCTAGTATCAACTTCACATTTCCTTTTTTTAAAAACTATTATTATTATATATCTTTATTGATTTCAGAGAGAGGAAGGGAGGGAGAGAGAGAGATAGAAACATCAATGATGAGAGTCATTGATCGGCTGCCTCCTGCACGCTCCCTACGGGGGAACGAGCCCGCAACCCGGGCATGTGCCCTGACTGGGAATCGAACCAAGATCTCCTGGATCCTAGGTCGATGCTCAACCGCTGAGCCACGCCCGACCAGGCAGATTTCCTTTTAAAGATCAATGTGTCTTTCTCACATCGATGTTTCTCTCTCTTTCTCTTTTCCTTCCACTCTCTCTGAAAAAGCAGTGAAAAAAATCCGTGGGTGAAGATTGAAAAAAAAAAAAAAAAAAGTCATGTGCTTTTTCTTTATACCATGAATTTGTGGGCTTATCATTTCATACTCTGCTCCTTACATCAATAGTCACCATAAAATTAACCCTATCATTAAAATTTATTATAAACTTAAAAAAACTAAAATCTCACAATTGCCTCCTACTGCTTTCAGAACTTTGTTCCTGACTACCTTTCCAGTTTTATTTATCAGTTCCTCATACATACCCAGCTATCAGAAATCGCTCTCAGGTCCACCAATTTTACCATACTCTTTTATGTTCCCATGCTTTTAAAAATCCTCATCAGAGATTATGAGTTTTCATTTATCTAATTACCGCAATTTCAGAGTTCAGCTCCTTTAGGAAAATTTTTCTCCATATCCTCCACCCCAGTCCCAAATTAGATAAAGTACCAATTCAATCTGTTCTCACAGTACCCTGTAGTTACCTCTATTACAGCCTTTATCACACAGAATTGAAATGATGTGTTTCATTGTATTTTCTCCATCAGATCAAAGAGTTCTGAGAGCAGTGTCTCTTTTCTCTGTATTACATAATGCTTGGCACAGAATAAGTGGTCAATAAATGCTTCCTTAATAAACCTCACCAAGCCATTTTTTGACTAGCCTCCAAAGCAGACTAAATGATTTCATATGATTCTATAAATAAGGGGCTAGGGATTATAGGTCACTATTCAGAAATTATAAAAATTTTTTGGGGGCCAAAATGATGAATTAATTGACCATTCCTATTCATGGTTTCTCCCTCCTAAGACTCCTATAAAATGAAAAGTAAAGGAATACAAAGGTATAAACCAATAACAAGAAGTATACCTGAGAAAAAGACTTCTACAGTTTTTTAGATGACACAAGGTGAATGGAAGAGTGAGAACTGATGAGGCAGGGTGGAGAAAAGTGAGGTTAGGAGTATACAGAAAGGGAGCTACACCTGGGGAAGGAAGAGATTGGTCTTGCAGAATCCTGAGAAACTTTGATCCAGAAAATGATGAGTATAAAAGGGTAGAGTGAGTAGTGGGGCTGAAATCAGGGCAATTAATTAAAAGTGTGAATGCCAAACACTCAATACCACCTCCTCCGCAACCATCGTACTCGGCAGCCAAGGAGGCACTATGTCCCAGGCAAAAAGTATGAGTTCTTCTGTAAAGAGTTAAAATATCCTGGCAAAAAGGTTCCAGACTTCTGGCATTTAGAGCTCCCCCTGCCCAGACTAAAAGCCAGCTTCTCACCAACACAGACTTTTATAAATCATAAAAGAGAATGACCAAGACAATCTTTAGACTCAACGAGTACACTAAGTAACCCATAATGAATGAAAAACATGTAGATATATCATTGTAAAAATTTCAGAACACCATTGATAACGTCCCTAAAAGCCTGCAGACAGAAAAAAACAACAGTCACCCACAAAGAACCTTGCAAAGACTTATCGACAATACTAAAGACAATGGAGAAATGTCTTCTAAACTATGAGAGAAAATGCTTTTCAACCAAACTATCAAAGCATATGTGAAAACAGAATAAAGATGTTTTCATACATAAAGACTCAAAAATTTCCTTCTTGCAACACCCTCTTTTTAAAAAAATTAATTGAGGGTATACTTCAGCAAAATGAAGAACAGCAAGAAAAGAAGACATGGAATCTTGAAAATAGAGGGCGTATCTAAGAATAGCAGTGAAGACTAGCCCCAGGATGAGATCCAGAGACCTAGAAGTGGAGCAGGACAATGGAAGTAGATTCAGAAATATCTGATGTGACGGCAGGGGGAAGGGGGCATTGAGAAGGCAAACAATGAGAGAGAAAAAGAAATTCTAGGAAAAAGACAAACATCTCTAATAAATCATAGTTAATATAAGACCTTGCAGTGAACACTGTTTACACAGGTATAATGTAAGCTTTATTTATTCATTTCCAACCTTTAAAAGCAAGGAAGACAACTATGATTATAGAGTGAAATGTAAATATCATCAACCTTAACAACAGTGTGTAAGTACAGTTCACTGAAGTTGGAAAACTGAAGAGAGATGAAAACTAATTAGAAAGGATAAGAATGTTAATATCCTCTTTTTACAAAGCAGGGAGTCTAGTTAGTGGTAAAAAAGAGTATAGAATAGCTGGCCCTTGAACAACACAGGTTTGAACTGGACAGATACACTTATACGCGTCCATTGGCCCTCTGTAACCCCCGGGTTTCGCATCCACAAATTCAACCAACCATGGACCAAAAACAGTATTTTCAATCTGCAAATGTGGATGGCTGACTGTATGTGTTGTTCTCTATTATTTTCTACAAGAGACTCAAGCATCTGCAGATTTTGGAATCCGAAGCGGGTAATGGAACCAATCCCCAGTGGATACTTAGGGATGACTGCATGGCAGTTAAGTTTTTGGGAAGTTAAAAGTTATATGCAGATTTTCCACTACACCGGGGATGGAGATCCACGCCCCTGACCCCTTGTGTTCAAGGGTCAACTGTGCTTCAATTTACAAAAGTAATCAACAGATTTAAAACAGTTATATAACAATATTGGGAGAAAGAGGAGGCCAGTAAATATAAGCTGAATCCTCATTTGTCACATCAAGTAGTTAAAAGATATTTCTTAAACAGGCTACACCAAGAAAGAACAATATGGGCATATAATTTAGAAATATGAAGGCAAATGCCAGAAAAAAAATAGCTAAATGAGTTAGAAGAAATTGCTTCTAGGAATTGGGACTGGTGGGATCTATAATACCACATGCTTTTATGAGTACATATGGTGATTAAAACTTTAAAAAAATTAAGTACAAAATGGACAGTCTCAGAGGCCATTAGACAAATGTCCAATTATCAACTCCCCTTCCAGTGGAGGGGACAAAGAGGGTCCTTAATCCAGTCAATTTACACAAAATTTAGTAACAGAATGTTCCCATCTAGTTTTCTACATATATTTCAACCTGATTTTATGTCCTGTGACAGTAACTTGATATACTCCCTTTGAAATCCAAAGACATAAGGCATAATAATCAGGGTATGCATGAGGTTTTGCATCAGAAAGACCCAGGTCTTAAGTTAGACTCCACCACTTGCTGGCTATATCACCTGTACAAGGTTACTACTAATAACCCTCTTCAAAAATAACTTCATCTGTGAACTGGAGATAATGCTTACCCTCATAGAGTTAGATAACACATATAAAACAGTCATTGACATATAGTAACCAATCAATATGATAGCTTTAATTACTACTTACATTGGCCACCACTTTTACTTCTTTGTACTGTGCTTCATAAAAAATTCCAGCATTTTCCAGTGCTTCTGTTAGTGAGGGCCCATTTTTCACCTGCTTATCTAATCCATTCACAAATTCCTCCAGTTTGGCGCTTGCCTCCTCAAATTCTTTGGAGAACTTCTTCCCACCAGTCTTATCTAAAATAACAGGAAGTATTCATTTCAGGATAAAGAAGTAAACAATTTAATTTTTTAAAGAAAATCCCTTTCCAGATGATCAGTGAACCTGTTCTTGCTGCCTTAATGTGTAATAGTCTTAGTCTCACAGTTTCACCTTTAAAAAGTTTCTCCAAAGCACAAAAATCATAAAACAGATTATTAAAATGATTCATGTGAATCTGCTAGAGTTAAAAGCAAGAGTGCATCATGAAATTACCTGTAATTACAGTAACCAAAAAAAAGTCTCACTAAAAGAAAGTTCATTGATTTTCTTCACATAGTTGATGCCACACTAATACTTAGAAATAATGGAATGAGGCTTGATTCTGTTCACTTCTTAGACCATTAACTTTTAACCCTCTAGAATGTGTAAGATACTTGAGAAAATTAAGGTTCAGAAAAGTAAAGTGACCTCTCTGTGAATCACACTAAAAATTCTTTTTTTCTATCTGAAGATGCCTGATAATTTTGTATCAGAAAAGTACAAGCCCTCAATTATTTTTGTAACAATTGTGACATTATGGCGTTGGCTGGTGTGGCTCCGTGGTTAGAGCATGGGCCCACGCACCAAAGGTTCGGTTCCCAGTCAAGGGCACGTATGGGAGGCAATCAACAGATGTGTCTCTCTCACATCGATGTTTCTCTCCGCGCCCCCCGCCCCCCACGCTCTTTAAAAAAATTAATGGAAAAAATATCCTCGGGTGACGATTAACAACCAAAAACAAAAACCCAAAAACACAACAATAGTGACATTATGAACTGTTACTTACTCTTCTAAGTATACTTCTTTCCCCATGACTGTATAGGCTTTAGAGACGGATACAAAATTTGGCTTTGTCTCTCATCAGCTGTGTGACTTGGGCAAGCTACTCATCTCCTTATGAAGCATCGGATTTCTCATGTACAAAATGGAGGTTTTTAATATACTTCTGGGTTGTTGTGAGGATTAAATTTGATAATGTTAAATTTAAAGCATGGTGCAACAACAAAATAGATGCCAAAATGAATATTTAGTAGCCATTTACTCATTATTTCAAAAATATTTATCAAACGTCTATTATGTACCAAGCATTGCTCTGGGCACTGGATACACCAGTGAACAAGGATAATTTCTACCTTCATGATTTATATTCTCATAAATCAATATTATTATTTATAATTTGTAAGGAAAAGAGAGCAACTAACTAGATTTTATAGGGCATTACAGTGACTTTATTAAAGAGCATACCCAAGCCTGGCTGGCATGGCTCACTGGTTGAGCATCGACCAGGGGCTCGAGGTTCGATTCCGGGTCAGGGCACATACTTGGGTTGCGGGCTCAATCCCCAGTTGGGGGTGTGCAGGAGGCAGCCGATCAATGACTCTTTCTCATCACTGATGATTCTATCTCCTCTCCCCCCTCTCAGAAATCAATAAAACATATTAAAAAAAAATAGCATACCCAAACCAGTAAATCACACATGTGAAATACATGTGTCTATGTATAACTTAATATATCAAGAGAGCACCAGAAGTGGGGAAAAAGAATTTATTTCTTTGGGTTTTTTAACTTATTTTTCTCCAGTTTTCTTGAGACATAATTGACATATAACACTGTGTAAGTTTAATGTGTACAAGGTGAAGGACAGGAATTTACTTATGAAATGTATATGCATGTAATCACTACCTGGGAAACCAGAACTGGCACAACTGCTCTCTCCAACCAACCTAAGGTTCTCTTTATGGGAGAAACAAGTCTCACCACTTGAAAATGACAGATCTGGAAAGAAAATCTGAGTTATTCTAGTTAAAAGGATGTAAGTATTACCTTTTAAGCATTTGAGAGTTTCTGTGCTACACACATCCACCCGCATAGTTGACAGCTGTTTTTCCTTCAATTCTATCTGATCTTCTGAGCGCTTGTATAGCAACAGCTCTTCAATGAGGGCCTGAGACTGAACATACAGCAGAGTTAAATTTCATTCACAAGATCATTGACTTATCTTTCCCCACTAAAACCTAATAAAACCCCAAGAGGGAAAAACCCTTCATATTTCCTCATAATCATGGATATCGATATCAATTTTCATGTCAAGACATTTTTTTAGTCTATACTTTAAAAGATCCTTTTCCTGAGCTGGCCAGGTAGCTCAGCTGGTTGGAGCATCATCCTGTGCATGAAAAGGTTGTGGATTAGATTCCCAGTCAGGGCACATACCTAAGTTGCGGGTTCAATCCCAGGCTGGGGCATGTACAGGAGGCAACCAATCAATGTTTCTCTCTTGCTCTCTCTCTCTAAAATCACTAAAAATACATCCTTGGGTGAGGATTTTTAAAAAATCCTTTTCCATAGTTATTCAAAGCTGATTTATGGATATAGAGTTAAGAATGAAACAAAGGTCCACTTATATCTTCTTTAAATTTTAATTAGATAAACAGAGTCTTATTATATTATAACAACTCTACACAAATTCAAATTTAGTAGAGCTTCATAGAAAGATGGACCCCTTGTTGGGGGATTCAGTACAGAAATAAACCTGTAATAGATTTTCTATAAGGCTATTTTTTCCATTAGGGAAACAGATAAAACTTCAAATAATCTGATCCCAATCTGGATTCCTTTAGAATTTAAAAATATAATTGATGTACAACTGAATAAAAATAATCCTACTGGACTACATAGGAAGCTGTAACACAAAAAGGGTGAATAATGCTTTGGCCATGTTCAACATACTCTGTAACTTACTCGAAATTCAGCAACTATTTTAGACTTGAGAGCAGCTTTTGGATTCGTGGATGCTGTTGAAATTAAACAAAAGGTCATTAAGAATACAGACAGAAAAACTTGACTAATATTCAGAAAAATTTTAGCTCTATAGTTAAGATGTACTTTTGAATATATGTCAAACATGCACAATTAAATAATAATTTTCTAGAATAAACAGTGGAATATGAAATTTAAACATTTCCAAGCATGGTCAACAACAAAAAACATACTGTTTAGATAGGACTGACCTACTTACCTCCAAAAGGCTCTTTAAGTCATAAAGTCCTAAAATTATTGATCTGGAGATCCTGAGATACATGAAGTACCTTTTTCCTAATCTGAGTGTGAGAGGATCTCAATAGGAGTGCTCAGGAGCAGGACATCCAATTAATCCTGAGCACTGGCTGAAGAAAATTACTTACAACCATCAACTCTATTCCTATGTATTTAGTTTTGGATTTCTTTTTCTGCTGACTCAGTTCCCAGCAAAAACAGTCAAGGAAAATTCTAAGTACATTATCACTGTGGTGGAACTTTGGCTGAAATGATGACTCCTGTTGTTCCTAAGCATGCAACTTATGCCCAAAAGGATGTCAGAGGACTCCCTTAATCATGATGAATATCAAATGCTTGCTGGAGCAAAACCATCCCAAGTGTCTTGATTCACCTCCCAATTCTCACTGTCTTTTACCTTGTTCCCTCCACACCTTCAGGTCTTTCTCAATATTCCTGTTTGGCCCACAGCAGCCCATCACATGCAGTATTCCACTCCCTTGATCTCATGCTGGGTAAACATGATAAACATAGCAGGAGCTCCTGTTAGAGAATGAGCTTCTGGCCAAGATCTGAGGCCCATGTCTAATCTGGTAGAGTGTATCCCCAAATCTGAAGGATTTCATGGCTCCCACAGAAACGCTTCTTAATGACTAGTCTCCTCTTCAGCTCTGTTGTTTAATGCCAGCTGCCTCTAACTTCATATATCTTTGAACCTGAGAGTTAGCCTGGGCACTATCAAGTATTTATTTTCTTCTTTCAATCCCCCAACTACTCTTGAATCTTCACTCATTTAAACCCTCTTTCCTGCATTTTCTTTAAATGTAGTTTTTTGTTTTTGTTTTTTTTAAGAAGTAACTCCATGATGGCTTGTTTAGTGTAAGTCACTGGGAGCCTCCCAAGCCTGGAAAATACAGGCTTGCCCATAGTTTATGCGAGGTACGATGTCAAACGGTCTACATTTTCTTCTGCTCCAAAAAGGAGTTAATTTTATATTAGTTGAGATTTTGTTCCTTACTTTGTGATTTCTTCCACTGCTTATTCGGTTGTTTGTTCAGATTTTCTTTCAGCTGCTTCTGAGTTTTGAAAGTGGTACCTGGAAAACATTTCAGTTTTTGCAATCTGGCATTATGGGAAGCTGTTCTGTATGTCCACTTCAGTGTCAAGTTGTAGCACGAAAAAAGGCAATCCAAGACTGTGTGTTGTTTCTTTCTTTCCTTTTCTTTCATTTTTATAAAAAAATAAAATAAAACACCTACCAGATCTCTAAGAAGCTGTCAAATAAACATTATTTCTATAGTCAATGAAATGACTGATTTTGAGAATAGGGCAGGAAAGCTTAAAAATATCAGTTAACACATTCAAATGAAGAATTTAACAGCTTCTTAGAAGTTGCTATTTTTAAAGAAAATTTCTAGTTAATTAATGGTCATGATATCAGGTATCACCAGTTCCTATTCCATGACTTAATTATGTGCATCTAATACACAGAAACTAAATGACTGTTTTTTAAAAAGGTACACAACTTACCATAAAACTAAACTGAAACAGAGACTAAAGAATGCCAATATATGCTTAATAGAAAATACTTAGTGAAAACTGAAATCCTGTCCAAAAATTATCCAACAGTAAGAGCACAGGGGCAGTAATTAGTAAGCACAAAAAGTGAACTTTAGTTTAAATACTCGATGTAAAGGAAATGGAATAATCGGATGACCATCATCACTTAATATGCTTGACTTTCTTTAGTCAATAAAAACAAAATCCAACCCTCCCAAAACAAATTCTACTCAAATTTTAAGTTGAATTTTTATAAGTATTTAATTTTAAACAAACAAGGCCAGATCCCAAACTTTATTTTTCATTATTAAGCAATAGGAACAGATCTGTAAAATATATATAATTTTAAAGTCTGAAAGACGACTAAAACTTCCTTTTAGGAGAGAAAAGACACTTACTCAAAGCTTCTCTTAATGCCATAATCATTTCTTCTGGGTAAACATTTCTATCCTCCCAGATTTTAAAGATTCGTTCTATAGACTTAGAGACAGATGGATCCCTGAGGAGAAAGAAAAAGTGAGATAGGTGAAAATGTTAACATACCTCAAACTATATATATAAAAATAAAGTTGTCAACAAAATTATTTTCCAAATGTCTTTTGATGTTTATTTTAAAACTGTTTTTCTACAGTGTCTAGGACTAAAATCTTAAGTACTCTTATTCAACATTTTCTATGGACGACACAGATGAGGCTATGGACAACTCACCAAACTTATTGATAGGTATGACGTTGAGAGGGCTACTTAGTGTGCTCAGTGGCATAACTAGCATCCCAAAAGACAGCCTGAGTCTAACAAGATAAAATCTAATAATGAAGAACCTAGTCCAAAAAATCAACTAAATGAGTACAGAATAAGACCAAGCTTAGCAATGCTATGTAGCTTCTTTTTTCTGAAAGGTTTCATTGAAAATATCATGAATCAATCACATACTGTAACATGTTTTCCAAAAAGCTATCGCTTAGTTCTATAATAATACATAGAACGGTGGAGGTGAGAAGTATCACTTCATTCTGCTTGCTTCACAGATGGGCTTCTGTGCCAAGCTAGTCATCTTACATTAGCAAGAAAATTGTTAAAGTAGAAGTGCTTGACAAATAATTACCAGAAGCAAAATTAAAATCGTATCTTATGTGGAACTGTAGAAGAAACAGAAAACAATGCAGGGAGGTTATTAACTATTGTAAAGGAAAGGAATCAAACTGGTTTTGTGTGATCCCAGAAGGCAAAATAAGGACCAAGGCATGAAGTCATAAGGAAAGAAATTTCACTCTATCAGGCCTGCCAGAGAACTGAGAACATTCGAACATTCTTAGCAGATATGTCAAAAGACAAAATGGAAAAAACAAAAACCCCCAGAAATTTAACTGCTCCCCAAGCAAATCCACCAATCCATAGGGAGTTTGAAGACAGAAAACAGCTATATCAACTTTATGGCCTCCTTCAAACACGAATCCATACCATCCATAATATCATGTGTTCGCAGAGGACTTTTTTTCTTTTGGCCTAATGATAGTATGTGCAGGAAACAGAATTGTATTAAATTTCTAGAAAATTATATTTTCTAGAGATTTATTAACCAGAATGAAGACTCTATTCTCATTTCTTTTGTTTTTTATGCTGACACCCTTTCTCTCATTATAAAAGATATATATACACATACATACAGTTGTATATATAGTGTTTTATAGTCTTTATTGCACAGTATAGTGTACATATATATAACAGTAGTATATACAGTATTTATAAGCTTCATATATTATAAACACCATAATATGTTATATATTATAAATACTATATATATAAATACTATGCTATATAATACACATACACTATAAGTACTATAAATTTATGTATATATAACACTGAAAAAACGATTGAAAAGTTTAAAGGAAAACTCCATTTTCACCAAATGGAGATTTACAATATACCAATTTCAGCATTACTATCTTCTAGTTTTTCCCCCCCATGAATGCTAGTATTGTATTTGAAACCAATTTTGTGCGTGTGTGTGTACACGTAACTGTATTAAATTCTTTTCACTTAACAAAATAAGCTTCCTCTAATCTACTCTTTGTATAAACATTACTTTTAATGACTATACAATACTCTATCATGTGACTGTTCCAAAATTTATCACTTACCTATTACTGGATATTAGGTTGTTTCTAGATTTTTTTTTTACTACAATTAATGCTGCAATGAGTATCTTTTGGTTCAAGTCTCTCTCCTTAATAATGCGAAATATTTTCTAAGAGGGCTGTACCTATTTATACTCCTACCACCAGTATAGGTATGCTGTTCACCATACTTCTGCAACAATGGTTGGTCTCACTTCATTTTGTATTTGTAATCTCAATTTAACCATTTCCTCTCTTTTAAAAGTTGTGCTATCAAAAATTTCAAATATACTTAAAAGTAGAATCACCCAGATTAAAAAAGTTATCAAGATTTGCCACATTTTCTCCATCTCTCTCTCTTTTCTGTTGAAGTATTTTAAAGCAAATCCCAGCTATCACGTCATTTCACCCCTACTCAAAAAAAAATTCTAACATTTTGTTATATAAACTATAGTGTTACTACCATGCTTAATAAAATTAACAATAATTCTTTGGTATCATCTACATTCATTCTATAATCAAATTCCCTTAATGTTACAAAAATGTCCTACCAGAGATATTTAAGATTATAACTTATTTTCTTAACATGCAGTTGCATATAATTCACTTAAAATCTATTGGGGCATAGGATGTAAAGTTAAGCTCTAAATAGATGTCCTAGTAATTGCTCCAATATCAAAATTTCTCTTTTCTATATTGATTTACTAGCATGTATTTAATTATCTTTTCTAGGCAGCAAATGCGGTTCCACTGATCCATTTTTACATTATACAATATTATCTTCAAAACTGTAGCTTATCTTCCCTCATTACAATTATATCTCAAATCATTTCTTCGTTACACTTTCCCTTGCTTATTTTTCCTGAGTAAATTTAGAGTAATGTTAAGTTCCAAAAGAGGAAAAATTTGGCATTTTTAACTTGACTTATATTAGGCGGACATATTAATTTGGAAAGTATTACCTTTCTATTAACACCTATGAATGATTTATACAAGATTCTTTATTGCAACAAAGCATTAATATTTATGAATTTATGTTCATCATTCCCAAATACAATTTATTAATAAAGGTCTCATATTTTCTGTTAAGGGTATCCTTAAGTATTTCATATATTTTATTACCAAGTATGACTCACCATTCCTCTTACTGCTAACTTCCCAGAGTAAAATTGATTCAGAAGTTTGTTTTCTACCAGAAATGTGGAAGTTTCCCCTCATCCTTCTAACACTTGTTATTTTCTGGTTTTGTTTTGAAATTCCAGTTCTCCTAGTAGGTGTAAACTGTTTAGCTGCCATTTGAAAACTTTTTCTTTTGTAATTTCATTACAGTGACCAGGTGTGGAATTCTTTTTTATTTATTCTGCTTTGTTTATGTTGTGCTTCCTATACCTGCAACTTCGTGTTTTTCACCAATTCCAGAGTTCTCAGGCATTACAAAGAATTCAAAAGTTCTCTCCTCCAGGACTGTAATTTGATGTTAATGAGGCCTCTCATGCTAACCTTCACTAGCCCACCTCCTTCTCTCTATTGCTGCAATTCTAATTTCTTCAGAACTATTTTCTAGCTTAATCTCCTTTGCCTTTCTAGAATTCCTATTGGTTCTTTTCCAAATCTATCCATTTTTCATTTTATCCCATTTAATCTTTCTTTAACATTTCTTACATAGTTGTTTTGCATATTCTATCTGATGATTCTAATATCTGAAGCTCAGTGTGTTTGTGTGTGTGTGGGGGGGTGTCTAAATCTGCCAATTCTCCCTCATGGTGGTTTATTTCCCAATGTGTTCAGTGAGCCCCGTGAGCACATATTTGTTGATCTGAATCTATGGGATTCCGGGTGGTCTAAGTAGAAAATGTGTTCCCCCAGAGACAGTCTACACTGGAAGCCAGGGAGAGCTTATGACTTAACACCTTGCTGACCAGCATTTCAAGCCAGAACTCACCCGTGAGGCTGGCTGCTTTTCCGTCATGACCAGTCAGCAAGGCGTTTAAAATTACTTACATTAATGTAAGTACAGACATGAGTTATCTCATGACCAGTCAGCAACATTCAGACACGGAAACACATGTATATTCATGACCAGCCAGCAAGGTGTTTAAGACCACTTTATCCCCTCTCCAGTCTAACTGCCCAGATCACATGGTACTACTGATATAGGCATACTGGTTAGTGTCGGCTCTGACTCTAATATGTCTACTGCTGCTGGTTCAGCTTATATTTTGTAAAGAATGTAACTGTTTTATTTAAAAGAACATTTCTGAACAAATGGTTTGGTCATTCAGTCAGAAGTCCAGTCTTCTGTAAATGTCTGTTTTTCAAACAGACTACATAGCTTATACATGGCAGAGACTGTAACTTATTTATTGGTGTTTCTTTGACACCTAGAAGGTGCTCACTAAATAGTAATTAAATGAATGATAACTAGATTTTGTCATTTTCAAACCAAAGTATTCATTATGAAGTCCCAAAAAATATTTACCAAAGTCCTCAAATAAAATATGCTGGAAAACCAGCAACTGCAAAGAAAACATACAAATGAGACTAGGGTATAATATAATTAAAATAGTACTAGATGAGGAAACTTAAGAAGTTTTAGTTCTGGCTTTCGTAAGAATTCTTTTGGGGGCTACGTTTCCTCATTTGTAAAATGATTTTTAGTATATAATTTGTTAGCTCTAAAATTCTTAGCTAGACTTATTCGTTGTCTATACAAACAGAGAACTCTCAGACTTCTACAATTCAACTATCTCTTGTGTTTAGGAATTCTCCAAAGATAAAACAAAACCAAAAAAAAAAATCCAGAATAGCAGCTTTACTTACCTTGTTATTCTAGATCTCTATTTCAGCCATTACTGGCCACAACCTCAATTTCTGTAGAATGTACAATCATTACCACACATAACATAGAACAATTACTTATAAACTTTATTGTTTGACTGTAAGTAACAAAAAAATGGCTGACCTTTGAAGAATTGCTAAGATGTTCAACAGCAACACCCCTACCCCCAGGTTTAAAACAGCAAGGTACCAGCAAATTACTTCAAAGCATAAAGTTGATGAAGAGTACAGAGGAGGTACCCAGGTATCACAGTTAAAATAAACAGAACGAAACAGCATAATCTTGTGCCTCACTCGGGAATATCTTTTCTTTATCAATATCTTATTTCTGGGATATCATCAAAATAATGTGCTGTATCTTTCAGGTTCTTAGTAAATATTTGCTAACTGATTGAATGGAAGACTAAATAATGGTTCAACTCAAAGAAGAGGCAGTCAATACTTTAAAAAAACTCAAGAAATTGTGACACCCACGCGGGATCACAATACCAGATATCAGGTTATACTACAAAGCCACTGTAATCAAAGCAGCCTGGTACTGGCACAAAAACAGACATATAGATCAGTGGAACAGAACAGAGAACCCAGAAAACAACCTATGCCATTATGGTCAGTTAATATTTGACAAAGGAGGCAAGAGCAGACAATGGAGTAAAAAGACAGTCTCTTTAATAAATGGTGCTGCAAAAATTGGACAGGTACATGCAAAAACTGAAACTAGACCACTGACTTACACCATACACAAAAGTAAATTCAAAATGGATAAAAGACTTAAATGTAAGATATGAAACCATAAAAATCCTAGAGAAAAACACAGGCAGCAAAATCTCAGACATCTCTCGTAGCAATATGTTTGCTGATACATCTCCTAGGGCAAGAGAAACTAAGGAGAAAATAAACAAAAGGGACTGCATCAAAATAAAAAGCTTCTGCACAGCAAAAGAAACCATCAACAAAATGAAAAGGGAGCCCACTGTATGGGAGAACATATTTGCCAATGACACATCTGATAAAGGGTTAATATCCAAAATATATAAGGAACTCATACAACTTAACAAAAGGAAGACAAACAATCCAATTAAAAAACGGGCAAAGGAACTAAACAGACACTTCTCCAAAGAGGACATACAGATGGCAAAGAGACACATGAAAAAATGTTCAACGTCACTAATCATCAGAGAGATGGAAATTAAAATCACAATGAGGGATCACTTCACACCTGTCAGAATGGCTCCATCAACAAATCAACGAACTACAAGTGCTGGCGAGGGTGTGGAGAAAAGGGCACCCAGTACACTGCTGATGGGAATGCAGACTGGGGCAGCCACTATGGAAAGCAGTATGGAGTTTCCTCAGAAGATTAAAAATTGACCTAGCATTTGACCCAGTGATCCCACTGCTAGGAATATATCCTAAGAAACCCGAAACACCAATCACAAAGAACTTATGCACCCCTATGTTCATAGCAGCGCAATTTACAATAGCTAAGATCTGCAAACAGCCCAAGTGCCCATCAGTAGATGAGTGGATAAAAAAGCTGTGGGACATTCACACCATGGGATACTGTGCACCTGTAAAGAGGAAGGATCTTTTATCCTTTGGGACAGCATGGAGGGAACTAGAAAGTATTATGCTAAGTGAAATAAACCAGTCAGAGAAAAACAAGTAGCACATGATCAAACTTGTATCTGGAATATAATAAACAAAATAAACTGATGATCAAAATGGATCCAGAGACACAGAAGCATGGAACAGACTGAGGGATCTCAGAGGGAAGGTGGGGAGGGATTAATCAAAGAACTTAACATGTTTATAAGCATAACTCATGGACACAGACACTGGTCTGGGAAAGGCCTGGGGGTGGGATGGATGCAGGGTGGAGGGGATCAATGGGGGTAAAAAGAGGATATCTGTAATATTTTCAACAATAAAGATGAAAAACAAACAAAAAAAGTAAACACATAACACTAAAAAAAAATCCAAAAACTCAAGAAATTAGAGTGGAGATAAATTTTATCTTTAAAAACTTGCTATTCTGTATCTCCTAAAATAATTCCCACTTTATAACTTATCTTTTTATTTGCTTATAACAAGTATCTTCCCCAGTGTGTCACTTGTCTTTAATTTTATGGCTTATTTTGTAACAGAAGTTTAATTTTGATGTAATTAAATTCATAAATACTTTCTTTATGTCTTAAGAGCTTTTTAACTCCTATTATCATAAAAAATTTTCATATTTTCTTCTAACATTTTAAAGCTTTGTTTAACATCCCAAGGTAATTAATTTGCAATATATATCTGGGTTGTTTCCACATTTTTATTACGACAAATACTGTTGCTATAAAAATTCTCTTTCATCAATCTTGCTATACATATGCAAAAGTTTCTCGGGGTTTTGTAAAAGACTAGGGCTGGAGTTGCAAGATCATAGGGTGTGCATAACAAACTTTTTTTTTAAAATATATCTTTATTGNTTTTGTAAAAGACTAGGGCTGGAGTTGCAAGATCATAGGGTGTGCATAACAAACTTTTTTTTTTAAATATATCTTTATTGATTTCAGAGACAGAGAGGAAGAGAGAGAGATAGAAACATCAATGATGAGAGTGTCATTGATTGGCTGCCTCCCGCACACCCCCGACTGGGGATGGAGCCCACAACCCGGCATGTGCCCTGACTGGGAATTGAACCATGATCTCCTGGATCCTAGGTCGACGCTCAACCGCTGAGCCATTCCCGGCAGGGCCATAACAAACTTTTTAACAGGAGGCTGTTTTATACCAAAGAACCCTAAAACCAATAGCATATGAGAGTTCCCACTGTGCCACAATCTTGCTAATAATTACGGTATTGGTGAACTCTAAAATTTATGTCCTATCTGGTAGGTATGTGTGCCAGTTATTAATTTATTGCCTCTCTGCTCTAAATCACCCTTCTCGATGCTAAGGAGCCACAATGCAAACTGTTTTCCCCTGGCTCAGTGTTAGACTCTGCCAATGGAGGGCCCTAGAGTGACACTAACAAGCTGGAAATGGCTGTAGGGATTCTTTTGGTGTTCTGTTCTAAGTGGATCAGCAAGTGTGCAGGCATCCTGGCAGCATTTTAGCAGAGTGTTGCTCTTGCAGTTCAGTGATGAGTGCTCTCCACCCTGTTTCTTAGCCAATACAGTGGCACGTAGCACGTNATCCTGGCAGCATTTTAGCAGAGTGTTGCTCTTGCAGTTCAGTGATGAGTACTCTCCACCCTGTTTCTTAGCCAATACAGTGGCACGTAGCACGTGCACGTAGCAATTCACTCTTTCCTCAGGACTGAGTCTCAGCTGGGAGGAGAGGGGGGCTCCTCATTCACTCTTCTCTCAGGTCCAGAAGTAGTCTCAACACACCTTAGAATTCTTTTATTCTTTCTAGTAGTTAGATAGCTACCTTTTACCTACTTAACAATTCTTTTTTTTTTAATCCTCACCAGAGGATATGTTTTTGTTTTGTTTTTAGAGATAGAGGAAGGGAGGGAGTGAGGGGGAGAGAGAGATAGAGACAGAGAGAGAGAGAAGTCAGTTGGTTGCCTCCCACATGCGTCCCACCAGGGACTGAACCTGGAACCCAGGTATGTGCCCTGACTGGGAATCGAACCCACAACCATGTGGTGTATGGGACAAGCTCCAATCAACTGAGCCACCTGGCCAGGGCTACTTAACAATTCTTTATATTACACTGTCCTTGTTTAAATCACTAGTGTGTGATTTGTCTCTCTGGACTGGAAGTTGACTATGACATATGTAATGATATATCTCAGCAGTTCTAAGGCTGTATGACATTTGAGATCACAACAGGCGGAATGGAGAAGCATCTAACAGAATTTAGCTGTCTGTTATTAGTTTCACATAGTTAAAAATTAAGAAACTTCATATAAAAAATCCATATTTTAAAGAATGAAAAAGTCTTTGCAAGGTCTGGCAGTGTGCGTTAACACTGGGCTCATATATCTATATTTTTTAACCCTCACCCAAGGATATATTTTCCATTGCTTTTCAGAGAGTGGAAGGGGGGGAGAGGGAGAGAGAGAGAGAGAAACATCGATGTGAGAGAGACACATCGATTGGCTACCTCCTGCTTGCATGCCGACCAGGGACAGGGATTGAGCCTGCAACCAAGGTATGTACCCTTGGCCAGAATCGAACCCAGGACCCTTCAGTCTGCGGGCCGACACTCTTAACCACTGAGCCAAATCAGTTAGGGCTGAGCTCATATTTCTTTTCTTTTTTAATTTTTATTTTTAATATATCTTTATTGATCTCAGAGAGAGAAAGGGAGAGGGGGAGGAAGAGATAGAAACATCACAGATGAGAGTCGTCATTGATCAGCTGCCTCCTGCATGCCCCTGACTGGGGATCAAGCCCACAACCTGGGCATATGCCCTGATCTGGAATCGAACTGCAATCTCCTGGATCCTAGGTCAATGCTCAACCGCCGAGCCACGCCTGGCCAGGCTCATATTTCTTTATTGGCCATAGGCTAGGGCTGAGTAGCTGCTACCCCCTTTTGATGGGTTTTCCTCACATTCAACCCACTTCACTCATCTATGTTACCTGCCTGGAATTTAAATTTTTTAAATTGGTTACTGCTAGCATATACAGTATAAGATACTGCTTTTTCTATGATGGTAAGTTAGGCAAGAAGAGGCAGACAGTAAATATCAAACTTTCAAAAAGGGAACAAAGAGTTTTTAAAAGAAAAAAATGTGTGTATTAGTAGGAAAGTTACAATGAACAATTTGGGAAAAATACTCTTAGATCTTTAAGCTATTAGATCTTTATAACTATTACAGTTCTTACTAATGGGTAACAATAGAAACTAAAACTAAATTTTCTAAGCTTAGATCCCAAAGAACAGTAAGAATTTACTTACTTCACTAGAGCAGCTGCTTCTGGAAGTACATCAGCAAACGATTCACGGAATATGATTGCGTTTTTCCTTTTACAGTTCTGGATGACATCATTGGCAAGGTAAAAGAGATTCAAACGATGGGGATAGGCAGCTAGAGATGACAAAAGACATAAATAAAACCAAATCAGTCAATTTATACTTAGTTCAATTTATTCCAAATATAATGCTCTCAAACTGCTATGAGATGGGATGATGGGATGGATGGATGGATGGATGGATGGATGGATGGATGGATGGATGGATGAACAGACAAATGAACTAATATGATCAACAGGGTTTGTTCAAGGTACTCCTTGAATAGATTTTTACTTCACTTTATAGATGCTTGGCACTAAAAACACTAACTCTGGAGAAGCTAAAATAAAACAAAATTGCTCTCCCAAACATTTGAAAAAATAAAAAATTGAGTAGAAGCAGCTCAACTTGTTGCAAAAACATCAGGGTTAGCGCAAAGAGTATGGGCTTTAGAATCCAATCAGAATGTGACCTCAGACAAATTCCTTAACCTCCTCTACATTATAATTATAGACTCCTTTCATCAACCAGTCCGGATACCACTCAGATACATCTAAGTCCTCCCATCTACTGGAAAAGAGGTTCTGTTGCTACTTTCATCACCAAGTGAATGTCCTGGGAAATAAGTAATCTGATCCCATAAAACACACCTAAGTCAATCTTCTTCAAAGGCCCATGACAAGGCCCAATCAATTTACTATCTGGCACCTTGAGCAATGCCACCCCAAATTTCGTTGTTATCCTGGACAATTTTAATACCCATACAGAAGATCCATCGTATTTTCTAGTCCCCCCATTTTTTTTTTTTAATCTCAAATCCAGTAACCTCCCAGAACCACTCCCTTTTCTGTCCACAACCTCCCACTCCCATTATACTTGTTCTTCAATTTCATCAGAATCTGTTCTTTATTTTCTCTACAGCCTCTTCCAGTACTCAACTCTTTCTCCATCAATTCCAGAGTCTCCGACCCATTATTAAAATCACTTTTTATCAAAACCTTCATCATCTTTCCCCCACCAACCAAATTTAGCTTTTCTAGCACATACACTCAACAAAACCTTAAATCTGGACTGAATGCCTTTACTACAACTTTATTTCTGCTCCTGTGTTCTGCTGAAGAAAAATCGTATCACCAGGAGGACCAATCTCCTTCAGCTGGGCCCTCAATACTACAGTCCTTCCACATGTCCTTAATTAGCATCTTCTCTCATTTACTGTAAGAGCTATTTCAAATTTCTACCACACTTGTCAAGCCCCCTATGTTACCACATTCCTTCCTCACTCTCAGGAGGTAAGCTTATATGCTATTTCACAGAGAAAGCATAAATCATAAGATGAAATTATGTTCTTTCAAAAGTATCCATATTTAAACCCACCCAGATTAATGTATCTGAGTCAGTTAAGGCCTTTCAGAATCAGGAATCTGAAAGAGCTTTATGTACTCGCTGTCTCCATTTTAACTCCTATTAACTCCATAATCACAGAAGATACCTTTTTTTTCTGTACTTAAAACATGCAATCTACTGTGCTAAAAGCTTTATATAAATTATGCTATCTCATTTATATTTCCATCACTCCATTCAAACAGCAATTACCAAAGTTACCAATAAATTCCAACTTATTAAAACTCAGTGGTAATTTTAAAAAAAATGTTATTTCTTTGTGGCTTTTGGCACACAGAATCACCTGTTACAGTAATTCCTCCTTTGGTTTCTGTCATAACCATTCTCCCGATTTTCCTCCTATTTCTCTGGCTCCTCCATATATACAGGTGGGCATGTATAGTCAAGCAGCTCTGCCTATGATTATCCTATGTCAGTGCTCCCCAGTATTCTTTCCTGAGCACTCTTCTCTATTCACCCACAGCATGGTGTTGCTGGCCATTCACGAGATAACTCGTGTCTGCACTCACATTAATTTAAATCTTTATATATACCAAAACAGCAGTTATCACTCGATGAAGCAATGATTCCATGAAGAGGATGCATCAGATTCAAGACGCATAATCCGGCAAAAATAATAAAATATGGAATTTTAGTAAGGATGCTTTGTGAGAGTGAGAGTGGCTATATCTGCAACTTCAAGATATATACAGGTCACGGCGAAAAGTCACAACAGATTTTATTATTAGTTTAAGGCCTTTTCTTGGCTCTTGGCATATTTACCAAGATAATTTCCACAACAGCATGTCTACAGCTGAACTCTTATTGAAGAATAAAACACTGGTCTGTGGAACAATAAGGAAGAACTGCGGTTGCCAAAACTACTAAAAGAAAAGTAGCTGGCCCCATGGGCGAGTTTTGGCTCAAAATAGCCAGTCAGCAAGGTGTTTAAGATTTCACATTTTAAGTCAAATAGTTCCATTCCTGGCTCTGTCACTTATTAGCTTTGGGGTCTTATGAGTTACTTAACTCTTCTATATACTTCCTTTTTCTTTGTAAAATGACAACTTCACACGTTGTTATAAGAATTACATGTAGCACAGGTGGTGTGGCTCAGTGGTTGAGCATTGACCTAGGATCCAGGAGATCAAGGTTTGATTCCCCGACAGGGCACATGCCCGGGGTGCGGGCTCGATCCCCAGCAGGGGGCATGCAGGAGGCAAGCCAATCAATGACAGCCCTCATCATTGATGTTTCTATCTCTCTCTCCCCCTTTCCCTTCCTCTCTCTTAAATCAATAAAGATATATTAAAAAAAAAAAAAATTACATATAGCCTTGGCCAGGTGGCTTGGTTGATTGGAGCTTTGTCCTGTACACCAAAAGGCTGCGGGTTCAGTTCTTGGTCAGGGCACATACCTAGGTTGTGGGTTCAATCCCCAATTTGGCACATATGGGAGGTGACCAATGGATGTTTCTCACACAAATGTGTCTCTCCCCCCCTCAAATCAATAAAAACATTAAACACACACATACACACAATGTATGTAAATCATTAAGCTTAGAACACAGAAAATGGAATGCTATCAGCATAATCATCCACTTCCATGCCTTTAACTACCAGCACCTATGTAACCATGACTCCCATATCCATACACATCAAACCTGGATGTCCCTTTACCAGTCAATGCTAAATCTCACAGGCACCTTGAGCTTGATTTTTCAGTATTTTACTAATATTTATCTTCCTCCTCTTCCCTCTTTTACTGCTCCTGTATTTAGCCAGAATTTTAGCAATCTTTTTTGACTCTTCCTCCTTTCTACCTTTCAGCCCGCATTTGTTAAATCTCCAAGTCTAGCCAATTTTGTCTCCAATAATATCAAATGTCTTTTCCTTCTTTTCCTACTAAAGCTCTTTGTTGGGTTCATCACCTTTGACCTGGACTTCTACTTCAATAGCCTTCTAACTGGTTATCTTGTCTCTAGATTTGCACCCCCAAAATTTATTCTCTATATTGTTGCTAAATTCATCTTCTAATATGCAAACATTGTCCAGTTATTTCTCCTATCAAATCTGCCAATGATTTCCAATTGCTTATTGGAAAATGCCCAAACATCTTAGACTCCATTTATGAACTGGATATTACCTTCGGTTTCAGTCTCATCTCTTCCCCTTCAAAATCAAATTCCGTCTTTAATGAACTATAGTTCCCAGAAACCTCTCCCTTTCTTGTCTCTCAGAATCTTCCTTTTCCATGATAATCCACTCTGAATAACCTTTAGTGTTTTCTATTCATTTGTAAGAAAACATCCAAAAATTTAAATTTAATCCATGTCAGATTCTGACCCTCCACCTCATTTCTACTTCTTCCTAAAACAAATCACCCCCAACTATTTTATTGCCATTTTCCCCCCATGCAAACCCTCCACTCTAGCTGGAGCACTAAGAAATTCAGGAGGAATGAGAGAAGTTGGCTGAGGTAGTCTGGGAAGATGCCTATGAAATTTGAGAAGGCCCATCCTGAATGTTTCTGAAACCCTCTCTACTCTAGTTCTTGCTTACCTGGTTAGCCTCAACTTTAGCCACTCTCGCCCTTAAAGCTCCAGTTTGGAGAACAAAATTCTGTTCTCAATTCCAAGCCCCAACCCCTTCCCTTGTCACCCAATAGGCTAATTCCTTTGCTTTTTTTTTTTTAAAAAAATATCTTTATTGATTTCAGAGCGAGGAAAGGAGAGGGAGAGAGATAGAAACATCAATGATGAGAGAGTCATTGATTGGCTGCCTCCTGCACCCCCCCTGGCAGGGGATGGAGCCCGCAACCCGGGCATGTACCCTGACGGGGAATCCAACTGCAATCTCCTGGATCCTAGGTCGATGCTCAACTGCTAAGCCACGCCTGGGCCGGGCTCCTTTGCTTTCTTTAAGTCTTGGCTTACATCTCACATCTTCCCTCAAGTTTCCTCTGAATCCACAAGGCTATGCCTTTAGTGAACCCTGAACTTAATCTGTCAACACTTATCACAATGACTAATTCAGTGTCTGATAGGTGCTCAATTAGTATTCGTTAAGAAGTTAAATTTTCATAGGCAGGAAGGAAGGGAAGAGCACTCCAGTGAGAACAAGTCATGAGCAAAAGTGCTGAATAGGCCTGTGCAATGACTGTCTTTCATTTTGGAGGAGGGAGATATTTAGGCTAGAATTTTAAATTATTTTAAAAAAACTTATATATCCCTTTCTGCATGCTAGGATCTGTTCTAAAGATGATACAAGTATTAACTGATATCCTTACAACAACCCTATGAGATTAGTACTATTATCTACATGTAAGAGGTGGAATTAAGTGAATTGTCCCAAGTCACAGCTAGTAAGTGGTAAAGCTGGGATTTAAATACAGACACCCTGGCTCCAGAGTCTACGTTCTTAACCACTACCTATTTCTGTTTGTCTGACCAGGAAGGTTTGAGTGAAAGAACAGTAGGAGAATCTTTGACAGATGACAAATTCTGGTGGGACTTAAATAATGAACTAAAAAGTTTCAGACTTTATTTTGTGGCTAATGAGAAGCCATAAAAAGCTTTTATACAGAAGGGTATTTTAGAAAAAGCAACAAATAATAAAAAGAGCTAATAATACTGCAAGGAAGGAATCAGACAAATTCAGGTGAGATATTCTGCAGGACAATCGGTCCAGTCTC